TATATATATATATATATGTTTAGTATCCTTGTTATCTATGAGTCCCAAATGTGACTGATCTCCTGGATCATTAGGATCATTATACAGCTATAATAAAAAGTAAAGGAAGGTCAATTGTCATTCCAGTGTGTCTGGCTGTTATCCCGAGTATGTTTCTTGTAGAAAAATCTGGCAGTTGGCGTGGTGACTTGCTGTGCACTTGGACCAGGTTTGAAGTCTGTTACTTATTTGTGCAGCGTCGGTCTCAGTCCCAGTCTGAGGCGTGTCTTGTAACCATTTTAGCTGAAGCCTCCTAAGCCTAGAGAACCGTGAGCTCCTGGTGAAAAACTCATAGGTTTTGACGCCTTCAACTCTCTCTCTCTCTTTCTTCCGGCTCTGTTATATCATAAGTGGTCAGCGATGCTTGCAGCACACAGGAACTCAACTCTCGCTAAGGGGTCCTTGTTGAACAGTGATGATCGTGGGTCATTGAAATTTCACAGCAGACGTGTTCTGGCTCGATAGTTGGCGGGACATTTCAGGAATACGTGGTCCATAGTGTCGTCCTCCTCTTTACCGGCCCGACAGGATTGATGACGATTTTCTGCTGGCGCGATTTTTTGTTGGTACGATCTCTCAGCTTGAAGATTTTCCACCAGTTCTCATTTGACGCCTTCATGGGAGCACCCACCGATAGCTCAGTTGGTGTGGCACTGAACTGAGGTGTGGATGACAATGATTCAAATCTGCACTATGCTGGGACGTTCTTATACGTACATTGTTTCAGGAGGGTTTTAAAAGCTCTCTACTTGTTCGGCTTGACTTGTCGGAGACGAGGGTTCAATTCCAGGATGCTGCCTCTGAACTTACCTAAAAAGTATTGAAAGGGGGAGTTAATTAAACCCATGTCAAACGAGACCCTTTCCTGATGAGGCGTAGGCCCGAATCTGTATGGTGGTTGGGTCCACTGAGCCCACTAATGTAAGACTGTTGTTGTGATAACTAACAGGTTCCCGCCTCACACATTGCTGACACTTTTTTTCCCCCTCTGCTTGGGTGACATTTTCGTGCAATGGTCCAACGTTACTCATATCCAGCCAGTATGCTATGTACATTTCATGCTTAGAGATGCTTTAGATATATATGAATCTCTGTGACTCATTCACACAAACGTATGAATTATCAACATGAGATATATTCTTGTTACTGTTTCATTTATAAAATAAAAAATATTTCACATTTACAAAAATTATTCATTTTCAGGTTGTTGTTTTTTTAAATTATGGTTTGTTTGCTGCTTTTTTTTTAAAGTCAAGGAAGGGTGGGGTATGGAGAAGTAACATGGGTTGTTCAACTGGTTTTGTTTATTCTATTTACAGAAATTTGTCACGTTAAATAGGCCTACAATGAGTGGGTGCTTTCCTTACCACTCCTCCTTCTTTTTTGTGTGTTACTCTCTTGTAACATCTCTCACCTTTGGCACTTTTGTGACCTTATTGTGTTGCAAGTGCCGTAAAACTCTTACTGAAAGAAGAAGACAAAGAAGGTTATTTTGAAGGTAGGCTGCTCAGTACAGAAAAGACGACATAGATGATACACCAAAGTAAATGTCCGTCATGAACAACTGAATGGGGGGGGGGCTCTCGTGGCCCAGAGGTTAAGGTGTTGGCCTCTTATTCAAAGGTCCTGGATTCAAATCCGGATAGTGACTGAATTTTTTTTCTCTAAAATTGTCTCGTTTCACTTTATTTCTTGCTCCCTAGCAATGTTCTGTCGTCTGCTTTCGTCTCCTCTCTTTGCCCCCTTCTCTGGGTTCCTGACTCTTTCTTCAGCCTTTCTACTGCTACTCC